CTCTCTCTCTCTCTCTCTCTCTCTCTCTCTCTCTCTCTCTCTCTCATCCCTTCCTCTCTTCATCCTCCTTTTCTCTTCTCTATTTCTTGATTCTATCATTTCTATCTCAAATCTCTGTCCCCTTTTCTGACCCTCCCCTCTTCCCCATCCCAATAAAAAATTTCAAAAGTAATGTATCACTCTGGATATTGTAAGAATGGTGTACAAAAACAAAAACTAACAAAAAAGTAAAACAATTTTGAGTTATAGTGGGTTAAAACCCCATAAGTAGTATATTAAATTTATTACTGTATGTGTTTACTGGTGTGTCACTTTGCATTTCCCCCTTCCAATTTTTCTTCCTTCTGACCCATCTGTGTAACTGTGAGAGTCATTTTCCAAAGTCAAAATTTTTCATTTACTTCATTCACTGTATTATATGAGAAAATCTATTTTAAATAAAAGGAAACAAAACAAAATACAAATATATAATCACATATATAGATACACAAACAACACACACACATATATATATACATACACATACATGTATACACAACACATTGTATTTTTATTAAAATATTTATAGTTTCAAGGGTTAACGTATGTTAAATATAATGGTATACGATAATGTATGGTGTAGGAGGTCATTCTGTATTTGTGTTGCTTTTATTGGTTAATAAAGAAACTGCCTTGGTCTTTTGATAGGGCAGAACTTAGATAGGCGGGGAAAACAGAACAGGATGCTGGGAAGAAGGGCAATGTGGCAGACGCCTTGGTTTTCCTTCCTGAGATGGACACTGGTTAGACTGGTGCTGGTAAGCCACAGTCAAGTGACGATACACATTAATATGGGTTAAACTAATATGTGAGAGTTAGCCAGTAAGGGGCTGGAGATAATTGGCCAGGAAGTAATTTAATTAATATAATTTCTGTGTGGGTTATTTCGGGGCTAAGCTATCCGGGGAGACGGGACCAAAAGCAGCCCGCCGCTCTAGCTGGGTAGGACAGAACAAAGGGCTCCACTCCCCCTACAACAAATGTAAGTCTATTTTGTGGGTTATAGTCATAATGAATTTACTACTATATTTTAAATATTAAATCACAATTGTGATGCTAATAATATAGCACATCAAAGTAAAGAAAAATTTTACTTTAAAAAATGTTTCAGTTTCTCAATTTCTATGGAGTAAAGTATACATTCTAACATTTCAATTTTTGTTAAATAATGGTTTTAATTTTTAAAATTGGCACATATATTATATATAGTGATTTATTTTATAACTACAATACCTTTCAAGTGCACCATTACTTTGTCAGTAGTAAGTCCCCATACTCTCTCCTTTTTCTTATCACCCCAGTAGTTTCCTTCCCTCACTCAGTCATGCTTCTACTTTCATATGCTATGTATATAAATGATTTTATGTATCCTTATAAAATCTAAAATTCACTTAAGAAAAAAAATTAAATATTTGTCTCTTTTAAGTACAGCTTCTTTTGCATTTTACTGCAAAAGGCAGGATTTCATTATTTAACAATTTTCAGTAACAATTCATCTGGGAGAGACAGTAGGCTGATCTCACAACATGGC